ACTGTACTAAAGTATACTTAAATTTAGTATATCTCCATTAATCCATCCATCCTCCCTCCACTTGTTGCTGAGTCAGATGGTGGGGGCAGCAGCCYGAGCAGGGAGAACCAGRCCTCTCTTTCCTCAGCCACCTCTTCCAGCTCTTCCGATAGAATTCAAAGGCGTTCCCAGCCCAAACAAGAGACATAGGCCTTGATTTATCAATACCATTACTAAACACCATGAACAAATCAAAAAATATATATCCTCTCTGTCGTAAAAGTGGGCATGCTGCTTGCAATTTACTAAAACTGGGTGTACAAAGAATAACAGGTGCAGCGGTGGTGAGGACCGACCTATTGAAATGAGGATTTTAGCGTGTGTCACTGATGGAGGCAGAGAAAATAACAAAATTCAGAGTTACAAGTGTTTTTAAAAAATAGAATGGGGGTCAACAACCTAAGCCAACTCTTTCTGACTAACAAAAAATATAGGCTATTTTGTTAGTTTATTTTTGTCTTTGTTTTATTACCTTTTTTGTTGCACAGTTATTTTGAATGTTGATGTGATACTTTAACATTGACTGGAAAAAAAAGGTTTTATTCTTTTAAAACCAAATCGAGCATCACAGCTCACAGATCTCCTGCTGCACCGCCGCTGCAGCTGTCCTGTGCTCAGGAGCAGAGATTACTGACAGAGAGATAAGCTCTCATTTTCACTGTCTTAAAGATTATAGCAAAGCACAATCATATTAAGTTCATTTTGTCAGCACACAACTGTCTCAAYACAGGCTGCATCATGTAGAGAAAAAGTTAGAATGTAAAAAAAAAAAAACCCTCTGTAGATTACTGCAGTCACTGTRTGCAGACGTGTCAAAGACTGTTTGTAAATTACCCGGATTTTCTCTCGTTTTGCATTCATACGTCTTACAGATTATTTCAAAAACTTTCCCTCAAATTAACTCAAGTGTCAGAACCAGCAGGCTGTAAGAAATTAAAGCCGCCTCCGTGATCCCTCTCCCTGCTCCAACCAGTAATGTAAAAGTGAAACCACTCTAAAGCTAGGCTAGAAATGCAGAACACATCACAGGGCTCAGTGAGCAAAACTCCCCACAGAGCAAAACATGTCTGGCCCAGTWCTGGCTCACACAATACCACAGATACCACAAAGATTGATGGCCCTTTGRTGGCCCAGATGTGGTCCATGCATGGGCCAGCACCACATAAACCAAACAACTGGGACAGTGGCATCTCAACTTAAAAACAGTGCCACTGCTGCAGCCTAGAAATGCTGAAATGTTTAAATGTATATGTTGCATATACATAGACCAAAACTGTATTATCTGATTGAATTTTGTTTAATAATATCGCCCATGTTCTGATAAGTGTTATTACTACGAGGTTAAAAGATAGCCAGTGACATCATCCTTTCAGCTTGTGTGCAGGGAAGAGGGACTGAGCTGGGGGGAGAGCAGGTAGTTACGTAGCTAGCTAAGTGGGAGAATGCTTTTCTTGTAGCACATGATGCACGAGGAGAAAGTGCTCCATGCAAAAATGTTATAAAGAAATTGGGGAACAAAAGTTGCTGACTGAGGAACATGTCTGTTCAGGAGTACAACACCATCATTGCTGGACCTGACTGGCCCACATGCCGTTGACAGACCACCTGCCATGCCAGCAGTCAGGCAGCAGTGCCAGCTAGAAGAGCTGGCCCACACTTGGCTGCTATGTGGGTCTATGACTGACAGAGCGAGAGGCAGATGTTGGATCACGAGTGTCCAATCCTGATCCTCGAGGGCCGCTGTCCTTTTTTACTTGCTTCCCTGCTCCAACACACCTGATTCAGTCACTGCTACAAGTTCTGCAGAGGCCTGGTAATCACCCTTTCATTGACATGTGGAGTGTTGGAGGACAGAAACCTCAAAAACATGCAGGATAGTGGCCCTCGAAGACCAGGATTGGAAGCCTCTGTGATAGATCAAACAAAACCCTGAAAACCTCAAAGTCAGCTATTTGTGTGGAACGCTGTGTAAAAAATGAAAGTGAAATGTTGTGAAGGGAAATTTTGCCTGGACAAATTGAAAAGCCCTTTTTGACTGAAAATGTTGTCATGTAGGTTTTAAAGGGTCAATATTGTGTGTTTCTCAGGCATACATTTAAATACTGTAACATAATAAAGTATCTATGTCACCTTTAGTTCTCATCACTTCATCTTCTAAACATCCTTGAAATTAGCCACCTTCCGCTTCTGTCCCACCCATTTTAGTGTGCGGGGGCTGGGGGTGCTATGATGCTGTTTACTTGGCATCTGAAAATACATTTCCTCAAATGTATTTTTAATCTGAAAAGAGCTTCACTGAGTGAGAACTAGTGTTAGGAGCTCCGCAGAAAGTTTAAGTTTCACTTTCAGTCTCACCCGAGAGCCTGCAGGAGTCATGGGCGGTGTGTGTGTGTGTG